TGAGCCAGGACGACGCCACGGCACTCTAGCCGGGGCAACACAGTGAGACTCTGTCTCAAAAAAAAAAAAAAGAGAGAGATAGGATCTTGCTCTGTCACCCAGGCTGGAGTGCAGTGGAGTGATCATAGTTCACTGCAGCCTTGAACTCCTGGGCTTAAGCAATCATCCCACCTCAGCCTCCTACACAGCTGGAACTACAGGCACGCACCACTACACCTGGCTTATAGCGCAGTGTTTAACAGAATTAAACTCCTGGGTCTACACTCCACACTGCTGCTTAAGAGAAATGTAACCTTGAATTAGTCCCTTAGCCTTCCTATGCCTCAGTTTCCTCGTCTATAATATGGGGATAATAACTGTCACTCCTGCATTGGGTTGCTGTGGGGATAAAGATAGTCCATACAAAACCCCCCAATGCAAGGGAACTAAAATGCTCAGTAAAAATTATTATCATATATCCTTTAGTATCTAATACAGTAACTGGCACATGAAAGTTGATAAAGAAAAAAGTTTTAAGTAAGCATATGCAATGGATTTCTTGTCATCCGGTGCTTACTCCTTCTGCACTACGTTATTCTGAACCTGCAAAGGTCAGGGTGGTGTTAATTCTCTGTGTGTGTGTTTTCTCTTCAACTAAATGGTGAGCTCCTCAAGCAGGGACAGTGCTGACTACTTCTGGGCCCTCCTTGAAATGGAAAGCACACTTGTCTATAAATATTGGATGCTTTTGCACACTAGTTATTACCAGATTGTGTGACTGTAGATTCCACCTAGATAGCTGCAACATTTTTCCTCCAGGTAGAACTGTTCTTTCTTTCATATACTGCAAGTCAGGTGTTCTATGTTATTCTAAGATTATGTGCAAGCTTCCCCAGACCACTCAGCTAATCTTTAAGACTGCTCTTTCTGTCAATTCAAAATAGTTCTGCAGTAACTATCTTGAGAATTGTGATACCTCAACTGGACAGGGAATGGCCACAGATATTGTCCTGATCACATCTCAATGTCACCAAACCGTAACCAAGTGGAAATCAGTTGTTGGCAATCTTCAACCAAACTGAATGTCCCAAAGAGGAAAATTAATTAAACCAAATTAATCTAATACATTTAGCCACAGCCTACCTTCCAGGTTGAGGAAATCCATGGAATTTGGGGAGTGGGGTAGGGAACGGATACAATACTCAGCAAATATTAATTCTATGAAGGCTATTTCCAGCTTCTTCTACCCTTGTCATTTTGAGTCCTGACTTACTAGAATTATATAGCATAACAACTAAAAAGAATGGCAAGGTCTTCAATCATCAACAATTTAAGGACACTGAAAGGCAGTATAGCACCGTGGCTATGAGACTGTAGAGCCAGACTACCTGGGTTTAAGTCCCGGAACTGCCAAACACCAACTGTGACCTTGGATGAGGTACCAGAGGTGAGCTAAGTACCTGTAAAAGAGGGATGACAATGGCACCTGTCTCAGAGGGTTGTTGTTTAATATGAAGTGATACTTAAAATGGTACTTGGCATATGGTAAACTCTCAGTAAATATAAGCTATTATTATTACATTTGTATTGTTTCACATTGAATGTTCAAACTGAAGTTGTTATTTCCAACCACTTCTCCTGAATTCAACTCTTCCCTCTGTATTCCCTGCCCACCAGGAGCTCAGATCAAAGTGCAGACTGTCACAGTCCCTCTGTCCTCTCTCCCTCATTTCTCACATTCAAATGGTTCCAGGAGACAGGTGCCCCCAGGCTCCATGATCCTACCATGAAATATCCTACACTTGTCCCCCTCTCTCTACTTCCACTGCCCTAGTTCTGGCCACCGGTTGCTGTCTTGCCAGGGCTGGTAACCTCTCAGCTTCTTCAATGCGTCCTTCACACAGCTTTACCAGTCAGCTTTCTGAAGCGTAGATTCGATTACTCCTCTCTGTAAAAACTCTTCTTGGCCTTATTACATACTATAACATAAAGGTCAGCTCCCTCAGCCATCCTTGTCATTTTGAGTTCTGACTTACTAGGATTATAGACCGAGCTAAGACACGAACTTTAAAGAAGTAGTTAAGTTAAAATGGAGTCACCAGTGTGGGCCCTAATCCAATATGCCTGGTGTCCTTATAAAAGGTAAGGACACAGAAAGAAATACCAGATGCAAAGAGAGACGACTATGTGAATACACACTGAGACGTCGGCCATCTACCAGACAAGAGGAGAGGCCTCAGAAGAAAGCAAACCTATTGGTACCTTGACCTTGGACTTCTAGCCTCTAGAATTGTGAGAAAATAAATCTCTGTTGTTTAAGCTACCCAGTCTGTAGTATATTCTTATGGCAGCCCTGGCAAACTAATATGCACAGTGAAATGACAAACACCATAGTATCATCTGTATTAAAGTTGATGGTTGAGGGGTGCTTTGTTCAACTAGTAATTATTAGTTTCTCCTATGTATTAGGCCCCCAAATTGGTATTAGGAGACTATACAGATAAACCTTCAAATTAGTGATGCAAAATGAAAGTGGCTTATACATAATTGAAAATGTGTCCCTAGAAAACACCTACTACCATGAACTTGTGAAGAGAAATCACATTCACTGCTCCTTTCCCCCAATATCCCACACAATTCGAGAGATATAAAAGTCATCTTTTCTTATATAAAACATCTTCCAATTAAGAAAATGATCTTACCCAAGCCTTCCAGTTCTTGAACTACTTCTTTCCAAACAGGCTCGATATGGATACAGCTAAAGCACCAATCCGAGGTGATCTTAACGAGGTAGGGTTTCCTGAAGCTATCTGGAACCACTTCATTCACATAATGTGAAAAGTACAGTAAATACTTTTCATCAGTGGCGTCCCGCCGCTCAGAATTAAATGGGAAGTGAAAAAAGGATTCATCGAAATAAAAATTTTCATGGAAATGGCGGAAGCGGTACTCTCGCTGCTTCTGGTAGCCCTGGCTCTCTCCAGCATGTCCATAGTGATCATAATATGATCTCTTCTCTTCATTGGAAAGAATCTACAAAAATTAAAAAAAAAAAAGAGAAATCAAAACAAGCAAAAAAAGAGGTTCATCAAATGAGATGAGGGAGAGTTACAAAAGAAAAGTTTACCCAAAGGACTTTTCTGTAAGCAGCTTGGAAGACACAGGAAGAAAATACATGTACAGATTCTGACATGATTAGATAGTCTAAATGCAGTAAGTCATTCAATATACTAAGAAATCCTTCTCTTTTTTTAAAATTTTTTTGTTTTTTACTTTTTTAGAGACGGGGTCTTACTCTTTGCTCAGGCTGGTCTTGAATTCCTGAAATCAAGCAATCCTCCCGCCATGGCCTCCCAGAGTGCTAGGATTACAGGCATGAGCCACCGTGCCCAGCCCAAGAAATTTTTCTCTCGATAGAAAAATTAAAGAAAATTCAAGACCAAAATATTTTAGTTGTTTAGTTGTCATGCTCATCTTGGCATGAATTTTGAGCTATCACAACACTAAACACTTTAGTAAAACAAATAAACTTAATGTTGATCAATCTTGCTCAATCGCAAGAAAATTGACTTGGTCAGGCCTTATAGGTTGGAATAATTTAAACCAAGACATGAAAAGCTGTGAATACCAAAAAAGTAGCTACAGAATTGAGTCCAGTACTTTGTATGCTGTTGACTTTGTTTTACTTAAAAATGGCTTTGAAGTCTAAAATTCAAGAATCTGTTTTAGGATGATATGTCATTCTATGAGCTAAGCACATTTTGTTGAAGAGCATTACGCTACACAAATCAGGAAGCCACGGACTTATCTTTTATGCATATTCCAGACCAACCTACTTAAGGTGACATGTTGGAAAATTATTGAAAATCTTGCGTTTAAATGTATTTGTAACCTTGTGCCAGTTTAATAAATATAGGTGAATTCTTTCATGTAAATTTGTAAAAAAGGCAATAGACATGTATTCAAGGTAATTCTACAATTCTAATTAAAGTCTTTAAAATAGGCCAGTTTTTTCAAGAGCTAAAGTGTTCAGGCACTCGTTTCAACATATTAGAAGTGGCTAAATATGTTCTCTCTACTGTCACCTAGGAACTGGGTCAAGGGCATGGGGAACATGCACTTTCTGAGAGACCGCTATAAGACTGATCACCTAAGGCATATTTTATAACAGCTAATGGATGCATCGCAAAGTCTGCCACGCTACCTCGTAAGCCTTGCTGATCTGAATGAACTTGTCCTCAGCTCCAGGATCTTTGTTTTTGTCGGGATGCCTGAAACACAAATGGGCAGGCAGGGAGAATGGATTTGATTGTTTACACAGTCATTTAACATCCTTGTTCACACAGTTCACTACATCACAGGAAATGGAGGTCAATTTTGTTAGGATAGTTTCTTAAAATAAATGTAGAAGCAATCAGTTGCTTTATATGACTATAATAAATGAAACTCTGAAATAGGTGATTTCTTCCCAAAACACTGCAGCTGGGCACATTTTGAAAGCACCAGCTAGTACTGCAGCATTTCAATGAGAAGGGGGAGATTGCGCATGTTTTACTTTGCTCCCAACCACTGCTAAAGCTGGCTCAAGGCTAAATCACTTATCCATAAGAACCCACGTCTTTTCCTAAAATGGCAGCATTTCATCTCAATGTTAAAATGATACTGATCTAGGTGTTTCTTCAGACAATACAGATAAGACATAAGGAACAGTTTTAGGATGAGAGTGAATTTGTTTAGTAACAATCATGTTTCAAATAGTATCTTGCTGCTGACTTTCAAATTACAACATTTTAGTTTTCATTATTACTCTCATTTTATCCCATTCTGCCTGTGATTGTCTTTTACTTATAAATAGATAATTATTTCAAGGCCTCATGTTTAAGATGTGAGAAAAGTCTATAGTTCATGCAAAGTTATTTCAACTAATATTAGAACTAAATCTTAAACATTTGCTATTATATATAGCTGGTAATTAACTGTATCCATCTTGCTGGTATATATTATTTTTTAATCATCTTGTCTTTATACCAGTTACAGCTTTGGGGATTTTAAAGTTCTGGAAAGAAAGGGCTAGGTTTACTTGGACCCTCCTATGATCTAAATCAGTGTTTTGTACAGATTGATTTTTCA